CCCCAAAACCCCAAAACCCCATCATTAATGAAGTTTTATGAAAATTGAAAGCATAATTATCTGAATTATTAAGTAAAGAAAATTTTTAATAGCAAAAATTATGGTGAAAAAACTCACTCATTATTTACTTATAATAGTTTTAAGTCTTCTTCAGACCTCAATTTAATAATTCACGCATATTGATAGTTTTAAAGAAAATTATGTAACAATTTTGATATATGGAGATGGATCTTTGGAAGAATTAGAAAGAAGTATTAGTTATACATAAACTCAACCTTTCCCCAATCATGAAGTAATGATAGCTATAAAAAACAAGGATTTGTTAGACTATATAAATCCTCAATTTAAAAATATTCCAAGCATTAAATTTATCTTGACTGAAGATGTTAATGACTTTGCAAAGGTACTTTCATAATTTTTCCATTTTGTAACTGGAGAGTACATAGTTCTTATACATTCAAAAACGATTAATAAGTATGATAGAATCAGTCAATAAGTTGTGGAATCGAGGACTTATAAAAGGAATGCGATGGTATCAGATATAGAAATATTAGATGATAATGGAGAGAGGCAACAAAACCTCTATCTGATAGACAAAGATTATTAAAGAAGTCTTGACTTGATCCTATTCTCCATAGACTTTAGAATTGAGTCTTCTATTATAATAAGAAAGATGTTTCTTGCCAACATTTTAAGCATAACACGCGAAGTTAATAGATACTCTTTGATGAGCAAAATAATCAAGCATGAAGAGATCAACTTCATGCATAACTCCTATATCTAGATAAGCCTTAAAAATTACCAAGATATCTTTGTTTAGGACTCTATTATTAAACCTTAGCAAGATCCCATTAAATTTATGCATTATAATAGTTACCTTAACAAAAAAGACATTAAGATCACTACTACATAATTTTCAAAACTTCTTAATTGTAGCTATGATTATTTAGGCTGTGATGAGGCTACACTCGACTTCGTAAGATATCTAATGATCGATACATTCTTAAACTAGGAAATCCTACATGATATTAAATAACTAGAGTTTATCAATCAGATTGAATACATTTATACTCATCTTTACTATCTGGAATAAGCTAGATCAAATCCGGAAAAATATCCATTAGCATCTGTAGTAATGTCGTGCCATAATAGAGATTACTATTTATTAGTGTCTGTCTAGCATGTGCTTTAATAAACATATGTTAATTGGGAATTGCTCATTTCTGATGATGGCTCAAGCAATCCCAAAACGCTCTAAATCCTTCAGCTGATCTAGAATATTCCAAGGGTAAGAGTCTTATATTTATATACGAACCAATATTCAGTATTCGCATTAAATTATGCCTTAACATAGTCTAGAGGAGAGTTTGTTGCTATTCAAGATGATGATGACATTATGATGCCTTTTAGATTAGAATATTAAATTGATTTCCTTAAAAGAAATCCAGAATATGAAGTATGTGCATCAGCATACATGCCTGTAACTGAAATCGGGGTCCCTAAATATTATGCAAGTAATTATGTCCATTCTTTTGATGAAGCCAAGGCTTTATTCATGCAAGTAAATTTTGCAGCTCATAGTACATTTACAGTTAGAATGACAGATCGAATGAAGAAGTATTACATCTATAATCATTAAACTGCATATGATTACTCTCTTTGGCTCAAACTATTATTTGATCTAGAAAATGAGGATATAAGATTCTTTAGTTTACCAAGACATGTAACAGGAATAAGAGTTCATTCTCAAAGAATGTCTCATAATAGTTATGAATACTCCCACTACTAAAAGTGGATACCACTAAAATAGATAGAGATTGCCGAAAAAATATCTCCAGATATTTATGAGAATGCTAGCTACCAATATTATTAACATCAATAATTTGAGCTTTAGAAAAAGATATTTGCTTGCATTTACCATCAAGGAAGCCTTTAAAAATTGCTAACTAACATAGGATAATTAAAAGACTTTGTTGATAACTTCATAATAGTATATGTATTAACTCCATCTGAGTATCAAATTATGAATGAGATTTTTAACAATCCTATGTTTTCAGATTATCAATCTAAAAATACTCTGCATATAATAAAAGTGACAGGAACGAGATACAAAGGTTACATTGATTCTGAGTTGCCCAATATTTTTACTAGACTTCTAGAAGATAAAAATCTCTAAGATCAAGATTATATTCTTCTATCAAACACCTCTGAGTTTATCAATCCATTTTAACTAAAGAGATTCTACCAGCTTAGCTAAGACTTCGGAATATTTGGATTAAGATACCTTTAATCTGTTGATAAAGAAGATTATTTATATTAAAAAACTAAGATTATATCCTATCACTTATTTAGGAATATTGGGTATAAAGCGATTAGAGAATATGTTATTGATGAGGATATTTTTAAGCTAGTGCCTTAACCAAGATTTGAAGATAAACTCTATACTCTATTTATTAATGGAGAATATTTGAATGTAAACACAATGAAAGATGCAGGGATTTTTATAGATGATTGTTAAAATTATTAGCCAAGTTTAGCTAACAAACCTAATTATAAGGATAATACATTCTCAGCACCTTCTCAGAAAAGAAAACTTGAAAACTTCTACATCTCATCAAATGATATATTCCAGTCTTATTGTGGTATTAATATCGAAGACAAAAATAATTATGTGAAGACTGAACTTTGATTCTAGTATCCTAGGAAGAAGGACTAAAGAAAAAAGATTTTACTCATGAATTAAATTAGTAAGATTTTTTAAGAATTTGAGTTTTTATTTGTAATTCTCTTTTAAAATTTAGCAAATAAATTGAAAATAAAGAGATTATTGTATAACTAGACAATAATTAAATAAAATATATCTATAAAAATAGCAAACATGATATATTCGATATTAGTCGTACATTTTTATTGTAAGATAAGGATCAAACCGAATTTGAAGATTTCTAAACTGAATATAAAATGAAAAGTCAATTTCCCGGAATTTAAAATTAAATATCTTCAATCATAATTATGCAGGACCACATTTGAGTTTAAAAGAATGATAAAAATAAATTAAAGGAGTGTTAGCAAAATGAGGTAGCATCTCCTACAGAAATTAAGATTTAATTTCCAACTATTTAAACTTCTAATTCCGGAAATAAAACATTTTATACATCCAACCGCAGTGATAAGTATTACCAATTTATTGATTAGACAAAAAATACAACAGAAAAGGATTACGAAATATCTTTAATTTCAAAAAGCGATCCTTTGAAATTATTTTAATCTAGTAATTCACGCAACGTTCATTATCCTCTAATTTATCTTGATATTATACCAAATGCAAATTTAATCGTTTTTGATGAGAAAATTGGAGTGACCTTCTATCACAGTTCAAGTGTTAAAAGGATATGCTTTTTAAAAACATATTTCACCACTGATGAATTGTTTAAAATCAAACAAGTTAAACATTAAACGAACGAAACTGTATTACATAATTTAACTGATTTAAATTCATATCTTAAATTTTACCCAGGAATAGGTAATATTTTTAACTAAGTTGCATTAAAGCCTTAAATACTTGAATTTATTGCTAAAAAGCTCACTTTAATGAATAAAAATGAAATTCCATTGATCTTGATGAATACTTTAATTAATGATACGAGTTCACCTATAGATTTAGCTTGAAATTCAAATCAATTAAAAAGTTTAAAAATATTACTAGAGCTTCTTATCGAATTCCAGAATGATCATCAATTCAACTATCTGATGGATGATAATTTGGTGTATTTTATTGAGAAAGGTCTTCACTTATCTGATTATTTCGAAAGCTAATTGCCAATATTTCAGATTATAGATGATAAATTTCCTAATGAGCATTATGATGATTAAGAATATATAGTGAATAAGAAATATTTAACCCCACCTATTAAAAAATAAGTTAAAAAACTATTTGAGCCTATCGAGGGATAAAAAAAAAATTCATCGGCTCTAATTTCTATTGAATATTATGAAATTAATCTACCTCAAACCTTAAAAAAATTAGAGCTAATCGAAGCTCTAAGTATTACTAAAAATCTTGAGTACTTTGACAATATCACTATATAAACTATCATTAAATTCAAATGGATATAATATACCAGAACTTACTTTTAATTGCAATTCAGTTTCTTTTTGATATTTGTGGCATCCTTTTTATTTGAAATTTACTATTCTATTAGCAGAGGAAAAACATAATATTAAACAACATTCATTGAAAAATAAATTGGTGAATATGATTATCCAGATTTGAGAGATTTTTAAATAATGATTATAAATAAATGCATTTGTGGTTTTGTCTTATTCTGTTTCTTTATCTATAAATTAATCTAATGTAAAAAGCAAAAAGGCTTCAATGATAGTTGGAATCTCCTTGATTTTTTACTTATTACAATTTATGCAATTCTTAATGCTTCTGAATTTTTAGCAGACAGCAAAAATCAAATTCTTATTTTACAAATAATTATGGTATTCTTGACATTCCTTAAAATAAATTTTTTTCTTAGAATCTTTGAAAAATTTTGCATCTTGATATAAATGATGATTTGTGTTATTAATGATATTTTTTTATTTGTCATGTTTTTTGTATACTTTATACTCTTGTTTGGATTTGTTTTTCTCATTCTATTATGTGATCAAAACATGAAGGAATACTAAGGAATTGGATCTATTGGATATTTTATAATGATTTTTAGAAGCTCATTAGGAGATTTCACACTTGAAAATCACTAAAATCAGGATTCAAATACTATGATAATCATAACCTGGATAATATGGTTAATTACAGTTATTATTATAAATGTTGTTTTCATGAATCTTATCATTGCTGTTATCTCAGATTAATATGAAAGAATAATGCAGAAATCTGTTGCACAGTCATATTAAGTAAAAGCTAAATTGATAAGGGAGAGAGAATAAACTTTGAGTACTAAGAATGAATAAATTAATTTCCCTGAGAGACTAATCTTAAGAAGACCTATAATTACTTCTGAAGATGACTAAGGTAAAAAAATTAATTTAATTTCATATTATAGGAGAATGGCAAGGTTTTATCAAAGATCTAAAAACTACAATTAAGACAGCAGTTACAAAATCCAAAAATGATTTGCTTTAAAACTAGGCGATTATTCAAAAATAAATAGATAATACAAGTTGTGAAAATAAGAAAGATTTGAATTTAATAAGCAAAAATATTGATGGAATATAAGAATTTTAGAAAAAATTAAATGAATAAGTGTAGAAACAGCAAGAAAATTAGGATACTTTTAGCAGAAAATTTCTTTAATCCTAAGATAAAATGAATAAATTAGATCAATTCATGAGAGATTCAATGAAGAAACTTCTTAAAAGTTCTGGATAATAACCTGGTAATGTTGAGAATGCATAATATTAACAAAATTCTGATTCCGATTGAAATTAAAAATGATAACAAGAATTTTATTTTTGCAACAATGATTTTTTTATTTTTCTAGAGCATGGGGTTTTGGGGTTTTGGGGTTTTGGGGAGATCGGAAGAG